CCCCCTCCCCCGGGCGGCCTGTTGCCGCCAAGTCTCTCGCCGGCGAGCGACGGGAGGAATGCACCCCGCCCCGGGCATCCGCGCACCCTCGCGCACGCATGGGTGGGGGCGCCCGGCCCCGGGCTGGGCTCCAGCGCTCGACATTGCCGCCCGGGTCGGCGGCCGAAGCACCCCGGGTTCTGGTCTCGGCGTGCCCGCCGCCGCCGCCGCCGTCGCCGCCCCACGCGGTGCGCAACCCAGGAACACCACCGGCAGGGGACACATTGCCACGCCCGCCCGAGGCCCGGCCCGCCAGGCTCAATGGGCGCAAACACGAGGGACCCCCCCCCCCAGCTACCCCGCCCCCCGGGGAGGGAACCGAAACTCCACGCAAGGCGGGCTGAGTGCCACCGCGGAAATCATTGTCCCGGGTCCCCATTGTGAAGCTATTTTCTCCCGCGGGATGGCACCCCTCCCGCCCGCCCCCGCCCCTGCCGCGGCGTCGGGGACGGCCCGCGCCCGCTCGGCCCTCCCCGGACCGGAGACGCGCCCTGGGGAACGGGCGCCGAGCCGCTGGCATGCGGGGCTGGGGGCACCCGGTCCAGGGGTCCGCCCGGGACTGGACGAGGAATGCCTCCTGCCCCTCGTCCTGGCCCCCGTTGTTGCCGTCTGGTCGGCGCCGTCCATTCAGGCTTGCTATTGTTGCCCGCCCCGGTGCCGGCCCCCCCCCCCCCCCCGGTGAGTTGCCTGTGCCTCCTGCCGCCTTTCGCTCCGGCTCGTACTCCGGACGCACCGCCCCCGCGCGGCGCGCCGCTGCCTAGAGCAGACACTCCGGCGGATTCTAGAACCCCGCGCGAATTCCGCGATCGACAGTTCATCGGCAGGTCGGGGCGCCGCCGGCCCGGCGGCCAAAGAGCGCTCTTCCTAGCCGCCGACCCCGCCGCCCAAAGGGGCACCGGCCCTTGGGGCATCTCCCAGGTGCCCTTCGTCGCGCGGTCGCCGCGCTTTCTCGCGGGCCCCGCACGGAGCCCAGCCGAGCCCTGCCCCCGCCCCCCGCCCCGCCGGCAGAGGCTCGCCACTGTCTGCCGGCAGTCGACCCGCCCCGCCGACCGGGCAGGAGGGGGAGGGGCAATGAGAGCCCGCCACGCACCCAACCCGCAGTTAGCATCCCCCCCCCCGTCGGCCCAGAGCCCCAAAAACGTTGCCCGATGTTCGGGGGCCGCCCCCCCCCCCCCCTTCGCCGACGCCTGCCTACCCACCGCAACGCCGGGAGATTTTCCT